TGACCTCAGTTGATCTGCCTGCCTTGGCCTCCCAAAGTGCTGGGATTACAAGGCGTGAGCCACCGCGCCCGGCCTCCACTACTATTACTAATGCCTGCGTTGTGTTCCATTCTGTGGCTCACCAATATCAGCCCGCCAATCTTTTAATTGCTGGGACAGGCTGGGTGTAGGATTATAGGCTCACACCTATAATCCCAGCACTTTGGGAGGCCAGGGTGGGTGGATTGCTTGAGTCCAGGAGTCCAAGACCAGCCTGGGAAACATGGCGAAACGCTGTCTCTACAAAAGAAAAAAAAAAAAATTAGCCAGGTGCGCTGGTGCACATCTATAGTCCCTCCTACTTGGATGCTGAGGTGGGAGGATCACCTGAGCCCGGGAGTTTGAGGCTGCAGCAAGCCATGATCATGCCACTGTACTCCAGGCTATCTCAAATAAAGAAATAGATAAATGAAAAAATAAATAAATTATTGTTGGTACATTTTGATTGCTTCCAGTTGTTTTACTTTTGTAAGCAAAGGTGAGATGAACATCCTTGTACCTTTATCTTTTCTTTTAGTGAGACGAATTAGTTCCTAGAGACACATTATTGGATGTTGAAGAGTGGTTTAATGAGTGTGCACTCTAAAAATTCTGATAGGGCCGGGCGTGGTGGCTCACGCCTGTAATCCCAGCACTTTGGGAGGCCAAGGTGGGTAGATCACGAGGTCAGGAGATTGAGACCATCCTGACTAACGTGGTGAAACCCCGTCTCTACTAAAAATACAAAAAAATTAGCCAGGCGTGGTGGCGGGCACCTGTAGTCCCAGCTACTGGGGACGCTGAGGCAGGAGAATGGTGTGAACCCAGAAGGTGGAGCTTGCAGTGATCCCAGATCTCACCACTGCACTCCAGCCTGGGCGACAGAGAAAAAAAAAAAAATTCTGATATAAATTCCCTTCAGAAAGCTGTAATATCCTACCGTCCTACCAGCAGTGTAAGAGATATGATTTCCATCTTTACCAATCTTTTTTTTTTTTTTTTTGAGACGGAGTCTTGCTCTGTCACCCAGGCTGGAGTGCAGTGGCCAGATCTCAGCTCATTGCAAGCTCCGCCTCCCGGGTTCACGCCATTCTCCTGCCTCAGCCTCCCGAGTAGCTGGGACTACAGGCGCCCGCCACCTCGCCCGGCTAGTTTTTTGTATTTTTTAGTAGAGACGGGGTTTCACCGGTTAGCCAGGATGGTCTCCATCTCCTGACCTCGTGATCCGCCCGTCTCGGCCTCCCAAAGTGCTGGGATTACAGGCTTGAGCCACCGCGCCCGGCCCTTTACCAATCTTGTAAGCCAAAAAGACCATTTTAATAATCTTGTGGAAAAGACTTTTACCGAAAATACTACCAGAAGCAGAAACTATAAGGGGAAAACAATCAACAAGTTGACTATTAAAAATAACCAATAAAACTTGTTTGGTATTTGGAAACTAATAAACCCAAGTTTAAGGACAAATGACAAATAAGGACAAATGTTATCTATAAAAACATGTTTATAACAAATATGACAAAGGATTAATAGCCTCAATATATAAAGAGCACTTATAAATTAATTTTTGCAAATAACTCAGGAAAATCATAAGTGCATAAACAGATTGTTTACAAAAGAAATGCAAATGACCAATAAATAGATGGGGAAAATGTCTTTCTCCATTAAAAATCAAAGGAGGGTAAAATAATAAATAAATGATGGGGATATTGAGACACAGAGAGACTAAGTAACTCACTCAACATCACACATCAGTAAATGGCAGCGCCTGCATTTGAACCGAGGTTTTCTGGTTTTCAAGTCTGTTTGACAGCCTCTTTCTGTTTTCACAGATGAGGAAACAGGCCTAGAGAGGTAAAGTGTCTAGCCCAGATTCTCTCAGTTAGTCAGAGGAAGTGCTTGGCTTCAAACTTGTATCTGAGTCATTCCTTGGCTCAGGGAGTGGCTCAGACACAAGGGTCTTTGTGGCATTTTCCCGTGCTGCAGTCCCAGAGCAGAGCCATCACTCAGCTATGTCTCCTGCACAGCCTCTGCAGGCTTTTCCCCCTGAGGCCCCAGGCAGTGTTTGGGGAGGGATGAGTGGATGACTCTCACCATGGGATCTGCTTATCTTCAGGTTCTCTGGGTGCCCTGCAGACCTTTGGATCCTGCCACCTTGCTGGACATTAGGGTTCTCTAGCTCCTGCCAGCCCTTAGAGCCACAGGACCTTGGTTACAACATCTACAGAAGGCCCTGCAGCTGAGTGTGAGTTACTGTTGAGAGACGGAGCTGTGAGCGCCTAGGCAGGCCAGGTTAAAGACCCTCTGTCCAGGAGAAGGGAACTTGGGATGAAAATTCCCTTCTGAAGGAATCACTGAGACCCCATACCTCTTGTCAGAGCAAAGACTCCCACATAAAAGGAAATAGCTTCATCCTTGAGCCAGAAGCTGACCAACCTGAAGACGTTACTCTTTTCAGGGACTCTCCATGGCTACATGAAGGGAGGAGGGTCAGCCCAAGATCCAGGGAGACAGAGTGAAGGGAGAGGTAGAGAGGCCAGAGTCTCGCTGCAGGTGCGATAGGTACGTTCTTTCAGGAGAAGGGGACATCCATCTAGCCCAGTGCATTCTGCTATCTTGTGGTATGGGGTATGGCCCATCCGCTCCTTTATTCTTGCTGGACCTTTCTAGACTTGCTCTCCTGTCATTTTTGGTACCTCACCTGGCCTCTTGGAATGTGATGAGTTCATTCCATCCTGACTCAGAGGCAGAAAAGGCCCTGGATTCTCAGAACGGTGGTGGTGGCAGAATTTATGGGCCTACTGTATATAATTTTGTTTTGTTTTTTTTTTTTGAGATGGAGTTTCACTCTTGTCACCCAGGCTGGAGTACAATGGCACAATCTCTGAATTACAGACATGCACCACCATGCCCGGCTAATTTTTGTATTTTTAGTAGAGACAGAGTTTCACCATGTTGACCAGGTTGTTCTCGAACTCCTGACCTCAAGCGATCCGCCCACCTCGGCCTCCCAAAGTGCTGGGATTACGGGCTTGAATCACCATGCATGACCAGTTTTTTTTTTTTTGAGATGGAGTTTCACTCTTGTTGCCCAGGCTGGAGTGCAATGGTGCGATCGCAGCTCACTGCAGCCTCCGCCTCCTGGGTTCAAGGGATTCTCCTGCCTCAGCCTCCCGAGTGGCTGGGATTATAGGCACACATCACCACACTCGGCTAATTTTGTACTTTTAGTAGAGATGGGGTTTCACTATGTTGGTCATGCTTGTCTGAAACTCCCGACCTCAGGTTATCCACCTGCCTCAGCCTCCCAAAGTGCTGGGATTACAGGGGTAAGCCACCGCACCCAGCCTTTTGTTTTTAACTAAACATTTTATTTGGAAATTTTTTTCCAAAAAAAAGCAAGAATATTACTGTAGTCTCCTATGTATTCCTTACCTAGGTTCATCTATATAAAGCCATGTTTACATGTGCTGTCTTTCTATATACAAATATATATGTATATAGATGATTATGTTATATCATAAATATATCATTCTTATTTCTTTTCTTTAACTACTTAAGACTAACTTGCGGATATGATGCTCCTTTACCCATAAGTACTTCAGGGTATATTTCCTAAGAATGAGAACATTTTCTTATATAACTGATAGTTTTCAGAACCAGGCAATTAACACTGATTACTAAGTCAGTGTTATAATGATTTAATAATCATGATAACTAGACTAATACAGAATATAGACTAGACTAATCCAGTCTACAACCAGATGTCAACTGTCACTTTATAGCAACTTTTCTTTTTTTTTTTTTTGAGACCAAGTCTCACTCTTGTCACCCAGGCTGGAGTGCAATGGCGTGATCTCAGCTCACTGCAACCTCTGCCTTCTGGGTTCAAATGATTCTCCTGCCTCAGGCTCCTGAGTAGCTGGGATTAGAGGCGCCTGCCACCATGCCTGGCTAATATGTGTAGTTTTAGTAGAGACAGGGTTTCACCACCTTGGCCAGGCTGGTCTCAAACTCCTGACCTCAGGCGATCCATGCACCTCGGCCTCCCAAAGTGCTGGGATTACAGGCGTGAGCCACTGTGCCTGGCCCTATAGCAACTTTTCTTTTTCCATCCCAGGATCCAATCCAGGATCATATGCTGCCTTCAGGTGACACATCCCTTTAGTCTCCTTTAATCAGGAGCAGTTTCTCGGTCTTCATATTCCATGAAGTCAACATTTTTGAAGAGTATAGGTAGGTTATTTTTTATATTGTAACTCAGTATGGTTTTGTCCGATGTCTCTCTTCATTGATTAGGTTCAGGTATGCATTTGGGGTGTGAATACCACAGAAGGGATGTTGTACCCTTCACAGTGCATTATATCAGAAGGCACATGATGTCTTATATTTCATTACTGGTCATGTTAACTGATCACTTGACTAAGCGATACTGCCAAGTTTTTCCAAGAAAAAGTTACTTCTTTTCCTTTTATAATCATTAAATGTCTTGGGGTATGGGGCATTTAGATACTATGGCAACCATGCTTTATGGTCTACGCTTTATGACCTGTACAATATTTCAAAGTATTTGAAACAAGTAAGAGATAAAGGATATTTATTTGTTTATTTATTATTTAATTTTTGAGACAGGGTCTTACTCTGTTACCCAGGCCAGATTGCAGTAGTAGGATCATGGCTCACTGCAGCTTTGACCTCCTAGGCTCAAGTGATCCCCCACCTCAGCCTCCTGGATAGCTGGGACTACAGGTGTGCAACACCATGCCTGGCTAATTTTTTCTCTTTTTTTGTAGAGATAGCATTTTGCCATATTGTCCAGGCTGGTCTCTAGCTCCTGGCCTCAAATAAGGTGTGAGCCACCACACCCAGCTAAAAGCATGGATTTTTGTACAAGATTTACAAAGGAAATTTGCAATTTCTAAGACAGGCCTAGTCCCTTACACTCTGTTCTCTTTCTCCATCTTCTTCCCCCCACATGTCTACAGGTGTCAGATCTTTTTCCAAGAACAGCAGAAAATGATCGAGTACCAGGTGAGTATCACATTAAGTAACCCAGTTTTCCTTCCTGGGGAAACTGTCCTAGATAAAAAAAAAGTATGCATTGTAAGTATGTACAGTTTGTACATACAGGCTGGGTTCTCAGGGAAGCTGACTCATAGATGGAGATTTTTCTCACCGGAGGTTTATTAGGCAGGCTCTTAGAACCCCTGTAAGGCAGTGAGGGAAGCTGGATTGGGCTGAGGGAGTTGTTGAACAGAGGCCTCAGGGAATCTTATACTCTGGAGCTGGGATGGCCTTCAGCATTGTTGTGAATGGAGGCAAGGAGGCTTTTATATTCTGAAATCAACTAATCATTGATTGTAGGCTGCCTCAAGGAGGGTAGATATCCTTGGATGGCACAGTACCCTTTGTCCAAGGATAATTCTCAGAAAGATTTTAAGCTGGCCGCTAGCGGTAGCTCACACCTGTAATCCCAGCACTTTGGGAGGCCAAGGCAGTTGGATCACCTGAGGTCAGGAGTTTGAGACCAGCCTGGCCAACACGGTGAAACCCTGTCTCTACTAAAAAAAATACAAAAATTAGCTGGGCATGGTGGCGCATGCCTGTATTTCCAGCTACTCGGGAGGCTGAGGCAGGAGAATCTCTTGAGCCCAGGAGATGGAGGTTGTAGTGAGCCGAGATTGTACCACTGCACTCCAGCCTGGGCAACACAGCAAGACTCCGTCTCAAAATTAATTAATTAAGTACGTAAGTAAAATCAACCAAGTGAAGAGGCCCATGAAGCAGAGTTTAGGAGAGTTCCACATATAGAACTTCTGTCTTTTCCTAAGGGAGTCCAAAACAGTGCTAAATCCTCCCAGCAGTAACGTGTGCCAATACACATGGAGCCTTGCCAACAAGGAAAGTGCACCTAAGCCCTGGTGTCCACTTTTTATTGGTGGTTGATCATGTAGAAAGGCTTGACTGTTCCCACTGCTGACCTCAGTTTGCAGCCCTTTCAAGAGATTGATCTGATGCCTGTGACCCAAAGCCCTCATTATAAACCACATCATTAGACTATCTAGTGTGGCCCAAGGCCACTAGGTAAACAAGGACACTCTGAGGACATTCCAAGAGTATAGAGATTACTTCCCAGCAGCTGAGGGCAAAGGCCACACCTCTGTTTTGGCAAGGTCAAATTCTTTAATACACAGTCACTTAAAGACAGGATCACCAGGACCTTCCTAGGCTGGTACCCATGGGTCTCCCTCAGTGACTGTCCTGCTCCTTCACAACTTATGCCGGGATCTCCAGGGCTATCAGTTCTTTTTTTCTTTTTTTTTTTTTTTTGAGACGGAGTCTCGCTCTGTCACCTAGGCTAGAGTGCAGTGGCGTGATCTCGGCTCACTGCAAGCTCTGCCTCCCGGGTTCACGCCACTCTCCTGCCTCAGCCTCCTGAGCAGCTGGGACTACAGGCGCCCGCCACCTCTCCTTTTTTTGCTCTCCTTTTTTTGTTTTGTTGTTTTAATTTTTAAAAAATTTTTGTGGCTACATAGTAGGTGTGTGTATTTATGGCAACATGTGTTGGTACAGGCATCATGCAACGTGAAATAATCACCCCATGCAGAATGGGGTCTGCTCTTCTTTACAGCGTTCTATCTTTCTCTAATGGTTACTGTCCTGCTTGTGAACATCACCTTTCACACAGGTTACTATAGGGTCTTTCCTCTCACTTCCCTCCAGGTCACCCACCACACTTCTCTTTCCATCCATTGGCTTTAAAACTGCCTGTGAGTTTACATTGAAAGTGCATCTCTTGTAGGCAGCATTTTTTTTTTTTATTCAGTCTGACGATCTCTGCCTTTTTGGAGTGTTTAGTCTTTTTTTTTTTTTTTTTTTTTTTTTGAGACAGAGTCTCATTTTATTACCCAGGGTAGAGTGCAGTGGCACTTTCTGGGCTCACTGAATCTTCTGCCTCCCAGCTTCAAGCGATTCTCCTGCCTCAGCCTCCTGAAGTGCTTGGATTACAGTCATGAGCCACCGTGCCTGGTCTGGAGTGTTCAGTCTTATATTAAATTATATTACATTTAATGTTTATTAAATTACATTATTGGTATAGTAGGATTTATATCTGTCATTTTCGTGTCTGTTTTCTATTTATCCCATCTACTCTTTTGTTCCTCTATTTCTTCTTTCCTCTCTTTTGTTGTGCTATTGTGGATGAATGGAACAGTTTTCAGAATTCTGTTTATTTATATCAGGTACACCTCTCATTATGATTTAGTGGTTACTCTAGGGATACAATATATGTCTTTAACTTTTCACAGTTTATTTAGAGTTATCATTATACCACTTCACATAGAATGCAAGAAGCTCACCTCATGCCTTCTAGAATATGCTTTCTGCGTACACTTCTTCTTGGATAGGGTTTCCATTGTCCTAAAGTCCATCATTTCTTTCTTTTTTTTTTTTTTGAGTCGGAGTCTCGGCCTGGCCTCCAGGCTGGAGTGCAATGGCACAATCTCAGCTCACTGCAACCTCTGCTTCCCGGGTTCTAGCGATTCTCCTGCCTTAGCCTCCTGAGTAGCTGAGACTACAGGCACCCGCCACCATGTCTGGCTAATTTTTCTATTTTTAGTAGAGATGGGGTTTCACCATGTTGGCCAGGCTTGTCTTGAACACCTGACCTCAGGTGATCCACCCACCTCAGCCTCCTAAAGTGCTGGGATTACAGGGGTAAGCCACCACGCCCGGCCCTAAAGCGCATCATTTCATTGCTGGCCGACCTCTACATGCTTTTCTCTTGTTACAAGGTAACTTGCCACCCCTAAAATCGCCGTTTTGCCCCCCAGTCTTTGTTCCCACTGCTCCCCTGCATAGAATGCAGTTTTCCGTCTTCCTGGGGAGACTCAGCTTTCCATATCCCTGGGCTCTGAAGCCTAACCGGACCCTAAAAAATTTAACAGACCATTCGCTTCTCTGTATGCCATAGCCTAGATGTCCTGCCATCACAGCTCTTGTGACACTTTTACCCTGATGGCTTTACATGTTGCTCTCTCTGTGCCAGACAGTGAGCTTCTTGAGGTCAGGACCCATCTATGATTGTGATCCCAGCAACACACAGTGGGTCTTCAATTTTTGTTGACTCAAAGTATGAATGGCAACAGTAGATAGCTTCCAATGTGATTTTCGTTTTCCCCACCATATATAACACAAAGCCAAGAATATAAAAGACCTTCCAGATAGATAATAAGCTCTAACTTATAAACATTATGGAAATCAGCATCATCTCTTGCACAAACTTTTTTTCTTTTTCTTTTCTTTTTTGAGATGGAGTCTTGCTCTATAGCCCAAGCTAGAGTACAGTGGTGCGATCTCGGCTCACTGCAACCTCCGCCTCTTAGGTTCAAGTGATTCTCCCACCTTAGCCTCCCAAGTAGCTGGGATTACAAGTGTGCATCACCATGCCTGGCTAATTTTTGTATTTTCAGTATAGACGGGGTTTCACCATGTTTGTCAGGCTGGTCTTGAACTCCTGATCCTCCTGCCTTGGCCTCCCAAAGTGCTGGGATTACAGGCATAAGCCACCATGCCTGGCCATGCACAAACATTTTTTTCTACATGACTCAATGTCATTTTTGTTTCAACAGACACCTGTGTCATTCAAAGATGTAGTTGTGGGCTTCACCCAAGAGGAGTGGCACAGGCTGAGTCCTGCTCAAAGGGCCCTGTACCGGGATGTGATGCTGGAAACCTATAGCAACCTCGTCTCAGTGGGTAAGAACACCTTCACCATACAATGCAGATTATGTTCAAATGACCACCTTTCCTTTCTCAGTTGCTAAAAGCAACTGGAGTACTTTGGGAGGCCAAGGCAGGGGGATCACCTGATGTCAGGAGTTTGAAACCAGCCTGGCCAACATGGTGAACCCTGTCTCTACTAAAAATACAAAAATTAGCTGGGTGTGGAAGCAGGTGCCTGTAATCCCAGCTACTTGGGAGACTGAGGCAGGAGAATCGTTTGAACCTGGGAGGCGGAGGTTGCAGTGAGCTGAGATCACACCATTGCCTTCCAGCCTGGGCAACAAGAGTGAAATTCTGTCTCAAAAAAAAAAAAAAAAAAAAGCAACTGAAGTACCTAGAACCTCTGAATTATTAAATAATTAAATAATTATTTATTTAATAATTATCTAGCACTTTCTATGTGCCAGAAACTGTTTTAGCCACTTTAAAAATATTAACTCATTTCATCCTCATAAAAGCCTTATGAGGTAGTTACTATTAGTACCACTTTTTTACAGGAAATTGAGGTACAGAAAGGTGAAGTAACTTGCCCAGAGTCACCCAGCTAGTAGATAACAGAGTCAGGATTTAAACCTCAGTGTTCTGGCGGCACAGAATGCATTCTTACCCTGTGCTGCTGCCTCAGTGGGTATGGCTTGAGTTTCCGTGGTCCTGGATTACTAATTCCATTTGGTTCTGGACAAGGTGTGTGTTTAGTCCCCTCCCAAGTATAACATCTGTTGTGCAGCCTTTAAAGCTGCCTGAGAGGCCCTGAAGACCAAGGAGCTCAGTCCAAGGCCTGGATCATTTCCCTGGAACAGGTTATGAAGGCACCAAACCAGATGTGATCCTCAGGCTGGAGCAGGAAGAAGCACCATGGATTGGTGAGGCAGCATGCCCGGGCTGCCACTGTTGGGGTAAGTGTAATAAATCTAGCAAAAGGGGTACTGAAGGAGGCTGGCACCTTTGGAATTTTGTTCAGCGTTCTTCTCTTAAAAGCCTTGACGTTCCTCCGAGAACTTCAGCCACGTTAATGCCTCTTTAACCTCCATGCAACCCCAACACCTGAATCTGAGTGTTTTTCTCAGCTCTACTTGATTGCACCTCTGTCCTTATGTGCTCGGTCCATCTCTCTTTCTCCAGAATCTTTCACATGCAGGTATTCTTACAAATAAAAGCTTCTATGATTCTCCTGTTCCTGCTTCCTATTCTGCGTTCTGACACTTCCCAGATGAAATGCTTCAGAGCTACCTGCTTTCCCTAATTTCTGCACTCAAATTTAAATCACTCCCATAGACAGATGACTGTGGGATCAAAGAAGAGGAAGCGGTGAATTCCATGTTGGGGTGGGGAGGTGTGAAGGAAATGCCTGAGCTGGGCCCATCTTAACCACTGCTGATTAACACTCAGACTCACTGCCCCTCTCCCTTCAGCTCTGAGACATTCCAGCAATGCCCATGGTACCCTGAGGGTTGATAGATGGCCCACTCTTAGGGATGCCTCGGAACTTCTGCTTCTGGCGCTCTCTGGTGTGTGTTTCTCCATTAAAGTGTGCTCTTCAGCCATCCTGAGACTGTGGTATCCTGGTTATCAGTTGCCCTGCTTTTCTTTTCTTCTCCTCTTCTGAAAATTTCATAACTGCAAATTCCACAAGAATGTATCTAGTCAGCCTCTGTTTTTCCAACTGCTCTGTTATTATCTATTTCCCTGGCTCAAACCCAGCATTTTCCTTCCAAGGAACGATTGCATTTTCTGTTTTCCATAACTTGGTTCTCTTTCCAGTGGTGTAACCCTCTCAAAGAACTCACCCATTCTGAGAGTACATGATTCTCACAACCAGCCTCTTTGCCGTGTTGGCCCCTTTCTCCCCCTTGCTCTGCCCAGCCCCGCATTTAACCAGTCTGTGGACTACACTACAGGTGTGCACTTCCCCTGTTCTTTGTGTGTCAAAAACGAAAATCATCTTCATTTGTCCTTGGTACCCCTGCCACACACTCACCCTCACACACACACACGTACACACACACACCACTTCATCTTGCTTTTTATTTCAGAGCTTTGCTACCGTGTGGTCATTTTGAATCTTCTGCCTTTACCACTCACTCTAACTGTTCCATTCATATGTGTGGTTTTGTTGATTTTTTTTTTCTTCTGAGAAATGGCTTTAAATCTTCCTCACTGTCTTTTTTTTTTTTTTTTTTTCTTTTTGAGACAGGGTCTCACTCTGTCACCCAGGCTGGAGTGCAGTGGCATGATCATGGCTCACTGCAGCCTCGACCTCCTGGGCTCAAGTGATCCTTCCACCTCTTAACCTCTCGAATAACTGGGATTACATTCGCGCTACCACACCTGGCTAGTTTTCATATTTTTTTGTAGAGAAGAGGTTTTGCAATGCCGCTGAGGCTGGTCTCAAACTCTTGGGCTCAAGCAGTTCACCTGCTTCAGCCTCCCAAAGTGCTGGAAATACTGGCATGAGCAACCATGCCCAGTCCTTCTCCACTTTTTTTTTTTTTTTGCAGATGAAATTTCGTTCTGTTGCGCAGGCTGGAGTGCAGTGGCGCCATCTCAGCTAACTGCAACCTCCGCCTCCTGGGTTTAAGCAGTTCTCCCTCAGCCTCCCCAGTAGCTGGGATTACAGGCACATGCCACCACGCCTGGCTAATTTTTGTATTTTTAGTAGAGATGGGGTTTCACCATCTTGGCCAGGCTGGTCTTGATCTCCTGACTTCATGATCCACCCACCTTAGCCTCCCAAAGTGCTAGGATTACTGGCGTGAGCCATCGCGCCTGGTCCCACTTTTAATTTTCCACTGATATCTCCTAAAATCAGACCTAGATTATCTCATGACTGAATATCTTTAAGTGAGGGGTTACTAATTATTTTTGTGCCATGGACTTCTTAGGCATTCTTTTGAAGGCTGTAGACCTCACTTCTATGTATAAAAATACAATAAAATTCATAAGATCATAGAAAATAGTTATCAAAATATTTTCTTCTTTTTTTTTCTTTTTAGATGGAGTTTCGCTCTGTTACCCAGGCCGGAGTGTGACGGTGTGATCTCAGCTCACTGCAGCCTCCACCTCCTGGGTTCAAGCGATTCTCCTGCCTCAGCCTCCTGGGTAGATGGGACTATAGGCATGTGCCACTACACTCAGCTTATTTTGTATTTTTAGTAGAGACTGGGTTTCACCATGTTGGTCAGGCTGTTCTCTGACTCCTCACCTCAGATGATCCACCTGCCTTGGCCTCCCAAAGTGCTGGGATTACAGGCGTGAGCCACCATGCCCGGCTTCAAAATGTTTTCAAAATGTGCAATATAATAGTACATGTACTTTTTTATTTATACATTAATGAGACCTAACATCAGGTCTAATAACTATCATGATCTCAAAGAAGAGATGATTATAAATATAATAATGTGACCTGAAAATAACAATATTCACAAACTAGTATCAAGTCACAGGAAGTGCTGATACTACTGTGTTTTGTTGCTTACATTCATAGTCAAAGGAATTGTTCAACTGTAGTTGGAACTCAGTGAAAACAAAAATGTAATTTCTATCAAAGTTCACAAGACCGCTGATTTCTGCCTACCAAGTTAAGAACTCTTGCTTAAGTTTTAGTTAGCTTTGTTGACTTTATTTTTTAATCTGGTTCGCCTTAGAGTGCTTTGCCATTTATATTGTAACTAACTAGCCCAATATGATACACCCTTGGATGACCGCTATACCAGTGCTTGTTAAACTCCAAGGTGTTTGGAATCACCCGGGCATCTTGTTAAAATGCAGATTCTGATTAAGTAGGTCTGGGGTGGGGCCTCAGATTCTACACATCTAACAAGCTCCAAGTAAGGCCAAAATTGCCACTTGAAAACCCACATGCCGGACAGCAAGGTACTGTATAACAGTTCACCTTCTTTCTTCTATAACAGCGATCAGCAAACTATGGCCTGCCGATTGGCCACCTGCTTTGTGAATAAAGTTTTGTTAGAACACAGCCACATTCTTATGTTTACGTATCATCTATATTTTCACGGTATGGTGGGAGAGTTGAGTCATTGCGACGGAGACCATATGGCCCACAAAGCCTTTACTTTCTGACCCCTTAAGAATAAGTTTGCCACCCTCTGCTCTGTAATATCCTGTTTTCTTTGAAATTATTGGTCTCTATACTCTATGGTACATTGTATTGCATTTGTGCCAGTGTTCAGAATCCTCTTTCCTCATAGAACACTCTTCCCTGCATTTGTGCTTTGGGTTATGGTTCACGTTCTCTATTTGTGTGCTGTGCACTCTTTAAATTTTGAGAGCATTTCTCAAGTAGTATGAAGTTTCATAAGGATGATTCACTGTACTTTCTCCAGAAGACATCTGGCAAGTTAATATCCAGAGGAAAAGACGGCAAGACATGCTTTTGAGGCAAGGCGCAGCCATAAGCAAGAAAACACTACCCAAGGAAAAAAGCCGTGAATATAGTAAGTTTGGGAAAATATCACTTCTGAGCACTGACCTTTTTTCTTCAATCCAGAGCCCTAACAACTGGAACCCTTGTGGAAAGAATTTGAACCATAATTTAGACTTGATTGGTTTTAAGAGAAACTGTGCAAAAAAGCAAGATGAGTGTTATGGTTATGAGAAATTGCTTCAGCGTATACACCATGGTAGACGACCGAATGGAGAAAAGCCCTGGGGTTGCAGTCACTGTGAGAAAGCTTTCACCCAGAACCCGGCACTTACGTATAAACCAGCAGTAAGTGATTCTCTCGTGTACAAACGGAAGAGGGTTCCACCTACAGAAAAACCCCACGTCTGTAGTGAGTGTGGGAAAGCCTTCTGCTACAAGTCTGAATTCATTAGGCATCAGAGAAGTCACACTGGGGAGAAGCCTTATGGCTGCACTGACTGTGGGAAAGCCTTTTCACATAAGTCAACCCTCATCAAACACCAGAGAATTCACACTGGGGTAAGACCCTTTGAATGTTTCTTTTGTGGGAAAGCCTTTACCCAGAAGTCACACCGCACAGAACATCAGAGAACACATACAGGAGAGAGACCCTTTGTCTGCAGTGAATGCGGGAAATCGTTTGGTGAGAAGTCATACCTCAATGTACATCGAAAAATGCACACGGGAGAAAGACCCTATCGTTGCAGAGAATGTGGAAAATCCTTCAGCCAGAAGTCCTGCCTCAATAAACATTGGAGAACTCACACAGGAGAGAAGCCCTATGGGTGCAATGAATGTGGGAAAGCTTTCTACCAGAAGCCAAACCTCAGCAGACATCAGAAAATTCATGCTCGGAAGAATGCCTACAGGAATGAAAACTTAATAATTGTGGGAAATACTTGAGCAAAATATCTGGTTTCATGGTATGTAGGGAATCTATCCTTAGGAGAAATCTTAATGAATTCATTTTAATGAATTTGGACAGTGTATATGTGTGTTTGCTTTTTTTTTTTTTTGAGTTGGATTCTCTCTCTGTTTCCCAGGCTGGAGTGCAATGGCACTATCTCGGCTCACTGCAACCTCCGCCTCCCAGGTTCAAGCAATTCTCCTGCCTCAGTCTCCCAAGTAGCTGGGATTACAGGCACCTGCCACCACACCTGGCTGATTTTTGTATTTTTAGTAGAGATGGGGTTTCACCATGTTGGCCAGGCTGGTCTCAAACTCCTGACCTCGTGATCCGCCTGCCTCGGCCTTCCAAAGTGCTGGGATTACAGATGTGAGCCACCACACCCAACTGACAGTGTTTTATCATAATGGAAATCATGATCTAATTGTGATACAAACTTTTCTGGAAAATACTTTATAAAACATAAGCATGGTCACCCTGGCATGTAAATGTTTAAAAATGTATTAAATGGAATAACAACAGAAAACAAAATATCTCTGAAGAGTCTTAAAGGCATACTCTGGTAT